AAAAAAAAAAAAAAATGGGAAGCGGTTAGTATATTATTCATACACAGGTATAGTGAAACCTTTAAATATTGGACATTCAGTCAATAAAATTGTGTCCACTATTTTGGAGATAAGCTTATAGAAAGTTAGTAGTTCCTGAAAAAAACATCTGCTATTTGGAGATAAATAGGGAGGCTTCACTGTATTCAAAATAGGAATTACATATTATCTGGAAATTATAAATTTATAAGCTAATCTTCAGTTTAACAGTCTAAAACCACAAAACATGTTATGAGAACTCAGGTATCTAACGAGTAATCCTAAAAATAGTACATAGAGGTACTTTACTACATACATAATTATAGATCATATACATTAATATACTATGATATAATTCCTACTCATGCCTTTATAATTAAGGTGTATCAATAGAAAAAGCAAACAAATAATTCTATCAATTAACAGGTTGCAAAGGCATAAACAATCAAAATTCATAAAAATAATATAAAGAAAGTCTTTCATTGAAATTATTGTATTAACTGAGTAATATATAATATATTATTACTTACTAATTATTATATTCCTCAGAAACTCATAACTGAAATTTCCTTGTAATTTTTATCTTTGCACTTTGACAGGACGTTAGTTAGAAATTAAAACTAAGATTTTTATCCGGATTTTTATTATAACTATAAATTTACTGATTATTATTCAATACCAAAAAACTAATAATAATACTAACAATAAACTAATAATTGTATTTAAAAAACAAACCTAATAGTATATCAACATGATAAACATTATTTAAACGTTTCACGATAAAGGTATCTCTATAATAGGTTTTCTAAACTAGTAAAATAACAAAATACTATTTAATAATTGATTTTGAGATAAATAAATTAAAAAAGGTATAAATAAATTTGTTATAATGAAGCAATTAAGGATATTATTTTTTACCAAATAAATTTAAATTCACATATTATAGTAGCATCTAATAGTTTATACAAACAGTAATTTTTCAAAATAAGTATTGCTAAGTATTTAAATACCCTTTAGATTTTTGTTTTTACTTAAAATATAATTTAATATAAAAAGCACTGATATAATAAGCTATTAAATTTTAAAGCTTTAGCTTTTTACATGGCTGTTTAGGACTATTTCAGACACAAATATTATATTGTCTATAAACTTTTTTACATTTTGATCTTAATGGTTTTATTTATTCAACTCAGTGTTCAGTTTATGATTGAGCACTGTGAAATAATTTTCAATAAGCTTCTGTCAATTTATAATATATAAATTCATTAAGTTTGGTTCCAGATATAGAAAATAATAGTTCAGGACTCTTATAAATTTCTGTCTAGATTTCATCTAGGTATAACTAAAAGTGTGTACATACTTGTATATCATAAGTGTTTATTAGACTTAAATACCAAATGAATAATGTTGATAAATAAATTAGGCAAATCTCTATATTTTGTACAAATTTATTTATGAGTATTTATGTATTTAACATAATTCTCTGGGAATAAATTTATTTTTACCTAATTTCCAATATTATTTTAATTATGATATTGAATATATAAATTACAGACTAATATAATTATTGTGAATTAAGTAAATGGAAATCATTCTACCTATGTTAGATATTGCTTGTTCACATAAATTACAATTTATTTTCATATTGATTTATTTATTGTATAGTAGTTTTTTAATTTAAAACAAAATGCAGTGGTTTTAAATAAAAAGTTAGTCTGTACATTAAATTGATATTTAAATGATGAATTGAGTAGTTACTAGTTATTGAAAAAGTAACATATCATGGAAGTTGGAACTAATAATGCCATAATGGTAATAATGTTATCACAATATCACTTATCAGTTAATACTAAAATCAAGGTATCAATATTCAATACGCCTCGACTAAAATAATAATTAAGCCTATTGATCTCCTGCACATAAACTTAGTATCCTAAAATCTAGAATATTATTGGTACTTAATTGAAGTAGGTATAAGGACTATAATATTTATGTATCTATTAAGATGGGATACGGGTAWATTAATTATACTTTGAAGACAGTGTATTGATATTTTTGGTTCACCAAATTGCATTAACTAATGGAGATGAGAAACTAACTACATTTATCATAATATACCAAGCACCATCTTACTTAGTTCATAAGACGCCATTGTTAAGTGATAAAAGTAACATATATATATATAGAGTAGTACAAGTTAATGAAGTCATGTATATATCAAAGCGCCATTATGTAGAAGGATATGTCATATAGGTACAATAGAATTTATGTTTCGCGAGTAGATATTATTGTTTACAAGCAACGGTATACCGACTATTATAAGAAGTTCCAWTGAGTATGAAAGGTACATTTTACATGTCTTCTTAATGACGTTTTAAAATACAGCAAAAAGGTATGTAGAAAACCGAGTGTGGTTGGTGGGCAAACACATCGTACAAGCAGAAGCAACGGTGAACTTACCAAACGACTCCGAATGCGCCATATCCAATCGGCCTGTCAGGTTTATAATCCACCGGATGTGTGGTGGCTGATTGTGCGGCATGGTGAGATTGCTGCTGAGCGTGGAAAAACTGTTGCGAGGCGCTGGCCTGCTGGTGGTTGCCGACTGGACCGTTCGTCGAGCCCTGCATCAGCGACATTGACACCCTGGAGTGTCGGCTCGGGCCGACCACAGCCATAACAGAACGTCAATGACGGTTAGTCCACGAATTTCGGCGTACGGCGGGTTTCGTTCTCATTTACGGTGAGAGATAATCGAAGACGAMGAGGACGATCAGAAAGTCTGCGGATACACCGACACGGTTGGCTGCGCAAATCTCGTTCAATGTTATTAATTATTGTACACGTTTTAAATACCTAGCATAAGATCAACGAGAACGGAATAGTAAATGTATTATAATCAAAGAATAATTATTATTTTAGTCAAGGAACACTCATGCGCGTGGTAAAGGTCGACAGGCGTAAAACAAAAAGTATAATAATTACAACAACAACGTAGACGATGATGGTAAATAACGATTAGCAATAACACAAGAGAATGGGACAATATTATTAATATAACCGTGTTCGAGCGCACACTACCCAASACCAGCGACACAAAACGACACGCGACCGTTTACCAAGTCGTTCGACCGACACTGAATCAGATTATCAGAATTCAGAATGACTATTACTGATTGAGAAAAGGGAGAATCAGGCGCGCTCACACACTATGACGAGTATTATACAGCAGCTGCAGCGGCTTGGTGCTCATGCACGCACTACACAGCAGCTGCTGCTGAACGGCGGGTCAATGTAAGTGATAAATGGTTACAGTGCTGCCGGATTGTCGAGTGGAATAAGTTTTACGGTAGAAATGTGCAATAATATTGTGCACGTCGGGCAAACCACATTACTATTATTGTTCGAATAAAGAATAGCGGGTAGGTACCTTGCTACGAGAGGGTTATTTCAAAGACAATAATTTTTTACGGATAAAAATAAAAATAAAATTTAGTGGCCAGTGGTTAGGTGCCGAGTGGCGAGTATAAATGTCAATAGCGACAATAGCACTATTAGGTAGCACTCACAAAAATGTCCTATAATTTTTAAAAGCCTATCCAATATTACTATAATAGGGCTTCAGGTCCTAAATTTCAAACGTTATTTACGCTATGGTCTATATGTTATTAACAATTATTATTTAAATTATAATTAAGATTAATTTACCGACACAAATAAAATCATTTTATCCATGCAAATATTAATTCGATCAACATAAGTTGTCATAKAAAATGGCATACGCACATAATATAAGTTGATTGCCCCTTGAATCAAGATTCAAGACTTACTATTAAGTACATTCAGTAGAATAAGAACTATATTATTATAGCATTTGATATTTAATAATTATAATACCATATATATTAATATTATTATTATCATAATTTAAGACTTAAGTCAATATCGTTTTACAGTAGAATAGCGTAATGCGTGAATAAGTTCATGGTATATAAATGAGACATATAATGTTTTTAAATTACAATAAATGAATTAAATAACGAATATAAATATAATTTTTTTTAAATATCTATTCTCTTCAAAATTTAAACTTCGTCTGTCTAAAAAAAAAAAGAGCACACCCAATAAGTTATAATATTTTTAAAATTAGGGAGAAAGTTACACAGGTATAGTATATACAGTTATTATTATTTTGAAATACAATATAAAATCGATTTTCTCAAAAAACGATTTTGCGTAAAAATAATTGTTTTTTCCAATCAATTACTGGCAAAGCACCTACTTGAGATTGGGTATGTTTTACRTTCCAGTGGATCAATAAGTTTAACTTTCCTACCAGAAAATATATTGAAGATAAAAATCAAAGTATTTTTATTAGTTTATTACCTATATAAAAAATATTACCAGACACAAATAAAAACATACTTGCATCGTTGTAAAATCAATACATTCAACACGTCGCTCAGAATCTATGAAATAAAAAAACAAACAATTGAAGAAATATAAAATGTTATAAATGCATACAAAATTAAAAAACATTAATACTTTATCAGCAATTAATTTCCTGTTTTATTTATTAATAGTTGTTTTCAAACAAAATTAACATTATTTTAGTAATTTGCAGGAGCTATTGAAATGTAAGAGGCATGAATTGATATATTAAAAAAAAAATATTTGAACTTGAAGATACCTAGGTGTTATTCAAAATTGTAAACACCATTTTTATTAGAATGTATAAAAATAGTTATAAATGTTATTTAAAAATTGAAATTTTATACCTGTTTCTTACATTAAGTATGTACGTCGTATCAATCGTATCATCGTCGAGTATACAGATACTACATAATATAAATAATTTTATAAAATCCGTTGATCGATGGTCTTATGATATTTTTGTACCTTCTATATTATTATACAATTTGTTATTAATACTGTAGTCGTATGAAATGAATTATATTATTACATTTATTGCGAAAAAATATGTTTTCTTAAAATTAAGTGCTGTTAAATACCTTAGAACATAGTTTTACAAGTCGTTGTAATACTTATATACGTTAATACGTAATATTTTAGTAAATAAGTAAATTACATAATACATTTAATTATTTAATTAGGTATTTAAATAAATATAATATCAATCATGAAGTATACGATATTGAATTAAATTCTTGCATACCAAATTTAATATTACACAATAGACAATTTCCACTGAATTATGTATAATGTATTTATTTCAGTTGTAATTGGTGATTACAGGAAATGAAAATATTGTCGTTAAACGACRTGCGGTGGAAGGAGAAAATCTACAGATCAAATAAAAAACTTAATCATATTTGACAGCGCTATCTAGTATTAATTTTCAAAGTATAGGAAATGTAAGTTTTTATATCTGAGAATTATGAATGTAAATTTAATTTGCTATAAAAATATTGAACACGAATTAAATCTAAAAAAGTACAGTTTAAAAAGCATACCAAAAACCAATGAATGCGTTAAAACAATATGCACTTAACATTTTTTTWAATTGTTTAAATTTAAAAAATATAAGCTATATTTTGAATTCATATTTAGTAACTGATCGATGATTATAATTATTAATCTAAGACAACTATTGCCTTTTGGATATTTGTATCTTGAACTACTGTTAAATTATTATTATTATTGAATAAATGATTGCATACATTTTATGAATATGTAATAATACGTTTTACAGAAAAGTGCAAAATGTATTATTCTAACCCAGCAATCCAACTTGAAAATATTAAAATAATAACCAGGTGGATGGTGCTAAATTTATGAAGATAACAAGGAATCTGAATAATCTGATAAGTTTTTAATAATGCATAAAGTGGGTACATTTAAATTAAAAATAATAAATTAGTAACACATACTTGTAACATGATAATAATTAACCTTGTAAAATKATAGTTATTTTCTTTAAAATCATGATCACGAGGGGTTTTTGATAGGGAACAAGGCAACTAAACGTATGCAGTGTACGCGATATCTTACGATATAGACTATTACACTAAGTATTGAGTGCTATATTTTATGATATAATTGCATTTAGGTATTTATTTTTTATCATTCATTWATATTGTAGGTTGAATTAATTTTAGCCGAGAACATTTCATCAGAAAATAACATTGTCTAACGATTAAAATAGAATAGTATACATACACCTTAAAGTTTCAAGTGGAGCATAAGTGCAACTAGGGGGGGGGCTTAGCCCCCCAAAATAAATTAATCAATTGATTCTTAAAATATTAATAAAGTTTTAAAAATTCAGCTGTATTTATTTATTTTTTTTTTTTTGGAAAGTTTTTAAAGTTTAAAATTATTTTATATTGCCTACCTTTCTATAAATAGTGGCTAATATACCAGAGTCCTATACTCGACATATTTCATCTTTTCTATGATACAAGTTTTTATTGTTCGTATTATGTACGCACTAGTTAATTGGCGATTATCACTGAATATCTGTTACGACCAGGGGCGGAGTGGGAAAAAAGTTCAGGCCAGGAAAATTAAGTTCCTCCAGGTCATTCAAAATTTTTTCATCTCCTGGTTATAAATTGTATTTTATCTAATTTTGTATGTAAATATATACGTATATAGGCAGGCAAACAACAAATAGGTACTAAAATATTATATAATAATAAATAATATTATAGTGTATGTATTTTACAGATAAAACTATTAACAGAACTATAAAACCGAAATAAAAATACACAAACCAAAATAATAATAAATCATAATATGTTCTAATGAAATTAAAATAAATATAGCAACTTACAAAGAATAAACTATTTTAGCTTTAGATATAATTATAATAATGGCTTTATCATAATTTAAAATATCAAAATAATAAAGAAATAATCAATTAAATTCGATTTCGTCTTCGTATATAGATAAATAAACTCTTTCATTACCTACTCTACATTATTTTTTTTTCTATCTATACTTTAGGTAAACGGGCCATTTAGTTTCCAGGCCACCGGGAATTTTCCCGATATCCCGGTGGGCCTCTCCGCCCCTGGTTACGACTTACGGGTACACTGTATATAGCGAATAAATACGTACTTAAGATCTAMAATGGAGCAAGATAGATTTTGTAATTTATCGATATAAAATATTGAAAAACATATAGAAATTGATCCCGAGGTCATTTTGGAACAATTCACAGCCATCAACAAAAGAAAAATGAATCTTATATACAATATGTCAAATGTCAGTAATTATTTCACGATGCATATAAAATATATAATTAAAAGTAAATGTTGGTATTAATGGTGTTTAAATTTTAAGATGGCGTTGGTGGGGCATAGCCCCCCCACGGGTTACTTTTGGTATAATATTGAGGTGGGGCTACAGCCCCCCACTAAGATTTTGTGCTAGTTGCGCCACTGGTATCCACGAATAATACTTTTAAGTTACGAAAAGATTAGGTACATACAAACATACAACACATTTTATTGAATTTTTACAAAATTTGAACTTAAATGATTAAAATAAAATTGTGCTGATGAACATTATTTGAATGATAATTTTCAATTGCTATTATATCAATTTATGAGGAATTTGTTCCCTTTTTTAGCTCAAAAAGTCTAGATATTAAAAATAATATAACTTACAAAAAATATTAATTTTAAAATTTGATGAAACATGAACATTTTAAGTATCTACGATGGTTTGATTATTTATTTTTAAGTTACATGGTTAGATTTAAAAATAAAATCGATTTTGTCGAAAACTAATTTAGCGTAAAATTTCCGTTTTTCCTTAATTTTATTTATTTTTCTTGGCTCTTCAGAATATTACTACGAACTTTTGTTTTAGAACTCTGGAATGCACAAACTCAATGAAAAACAGTAAAAATACTGAAATTAAAAAATCAAAGCATTATTCCGACTACAAATCGTATACACAGACACAAAAATTAATAAAACACATATCATTGTAAAATTGTTCTTCAATACTTCTGTCTCTAGGAAAAAAATCATGCAAACCTTGTTGTATCTTGCATTTAAATATAATAATATTCGTTATTCCATAATTTTCCCTAACAAGTTATTTTATTTTGATGTTTGTTATGATAATGATGATAAGGCCACGTTTTAAAAATATGTGATAACAGGGAAGTAAAATAAAAAGATATTGATAACAGGTGTGTCGAACTCGAATGTCTTTAGTCAAAAAATTATTAAAAAACTTTTAATTTTTTGGTTTTTCCATATCATGTCCTC